TATTCTAACTTGTCAATATCTGTAATTTGAGTTCCTAATTCATATGAAACTATAGACTTAGCATTTTGACATCACAAACATCTAATTTGAACCTGTGATGCATTCAACATACCACGTGACACACAAAAATCGATGTTTAACTGTAATATTTACTTCTAAGTTAAGAAATTGAGTAAGGTATAATACTAAAATTTGAATTATAATCTACAGTATGATACCAAAGTTATTGATATAAATTAATGAAATAGTAATTCAATAAAATTTTGAATGCAAGTCAACAAATGCGATGACATGGTCTTTCAACCATGACCTGCTGGAAAGGGTTAATGTTCTAGCATAGCTATCCCATATAACTGCTAACCAGTTGGAGGACAACCAATCAGTAGCATTCACCACTTATGTAGCTACTCTTAACGAAATGGCAGGATTGACTGTCAATTAAAATGCACCTACTGTTGAGGAGCCTGTTCAGCTGCACATCATGGTCTAAACCTTGAACATTCTGGTCTGCACGGGGGGGTAGCACGAGTGATTAGGATAGTCAATAATGCAAAATGAAGTGCTTTAATATATTTTCTTATTAATGAAAACAAGTAACCACTACAAAACATAGTATTTTAATGTGTATCCATGTGTTATACCGTATCGCTTATCTTTCACTCATTTAAGAGGGGAAGCATACGAGAAACCATGTTTATTAAGGGAGGGGGATGATAAAAGTTTGGGAAATGCTGGTCTAGAGAACACTTAATAATTTTTGTAAAAACAGTTTTACACAATTTCTTTTATTTTCTAGTATTTGAAAAAGTTACCTCTTCACTTTAAAAATGAGATCACTTGACAAACTTGTGAAATACTTAAAATGAAAATTTACTAACCTCAGCAGTCAAATACTCTAAAATAGCAGCACTATAAACAGCTGCTGTAGCACCCACTCGACCATGACTAGTTGTCCTGCTTTTCAGATGACGATGAATTCTCCCAACAGGAAACTAAAACACAACATTATCATATTTAACTATATAAAAAGATGACAGAAATTAAATGTTGCTAATACTTTTAAGGTTTGAATAAGACAAAAAAGCCAGTTTCACAAGAAATGATTAGCAATAAAGCTAGAGTAATAAAATTCTTAGGACAAAATGCTATAATCTTCTACGTAGACAAATGAAAATCAGTAAGACTGGAAGTTATAAAATTAGTTAAAAAACAACAACATTAAAATAATGTTAATTAAGTACTGCTAATACATGTAGCTGATCTGTAAGTGATCAATTTCCTATTCAAATATCAAATAACTAGGCTAAAATACCAACACCTTTATTCTCCTGAAGAATAGTCAACTATTCAAAAGCGCTCAAGTTTTGGAAATATAGTAACACCAACACTTTAGGCAAAGTTTAGGACAACACAAAAGACAACCAGATGTGAACAAAGCTGTGTATAATCACAATAGTATTTACTATCAGAAATTGAATGAAGTTCAAGATTAGATAACAGAGATGTATAAATAAAATATCACTATGGTAATAATGGACTAAAAAATTAAAGTTCAATTAACGTGTGTTGAGTCTACTAGTTAGAAAATGAAAAGTTTCAATTTTTACTGGAGTGTAATAGTATTTTACACTACTACGTTACAAGTGGTACTTTATGTCAACTAAGGACAATGTAATGTATGGCTAATGCTTAACTATTTAAAAAAATACACATTTGAGTTGCAACTGAATACTATGCTTCATTTAATAAATAAATGTGAAACAATCTGTGTATTACAGCATGATGGTGTGACTAAAAATGATCCATTTTTATTAAGAAAATGTGGTTAAGCAACCAAAATTTACATTACACAGCTTTCGAGGATCAATACAAGCAAAGATGAATGAAGATTGGCCCATCTAACAGATGTGAATATGAGAGAAGAATGCCTAAAACAACTGAAAATAAAATTCAGAAAACGAGTATTCAAAATATTGTACAGAATACATTAAGACACCCAAAACTTTTATCACTTAAAAAGATGCATAAATAAAATTTACCACATGCTGTATTAAAAAATGAAGTAAAGTCTGAACTAAACACAGGAGTTTATGAACCAATAAGATCAGTAGTTCATAAGACCAATATTGTGGTACGGGATGCTACCATACATTCCTACTTCCCAAGTTAATATGCAACTTTTTCAACATGCCCATTTTCTTTATGTTCTGTTTAAACATAGACAATTTCTCAAGTAAACACTTCACGCTTCAGCTGTCAATGGAACCAGGTTTATTAATTGGTCCTTAAACACATTTTTTTATAGGAAAGATGGCTGAGATTTCACTTGTGATGGCTCAGAACAAACAGCAGTCTTTTCTGTCAGGAAATCATGTAATTGCCCAGGATTTCCGTGCCCGTGTTCATAAGTAGATTAATGTCATGTGGGTGAAGTGCATATAAATATAAAGCAAGTGCACTGAAGTTAAAATTTCAGATGAAACATGATAAACAATTAGGATTGTATCCAGAATGTAAAAAATTTTTCTATACATTTATAAATCTTGAAAGCAATGACACAGTGCACCAAAGGTGCAATTACTACATCAAATCTGAATAATCTTTCTTCACGTTTAACTAAATTTACTCAATTAGATATGGAAAGTATTGCTAACAAAATACAGATTATTGCATATACTTCAAAAGAACTGAAATAGAGGGAAGGCAACTAGTCATCACCACCACCACCAACTCTTGGGCTACTCATTTACCAATGAATAATGGGACTGACCATCACATTATAATGTTCCCCATGGTTGAAAGGGCAAGCATGTTTGGTGGGATGAGGATTTGATTTCGCAACCCTCAGAGTGCAAGTCAAATGCCCTAACCATCTGACCATGCCAGGCCAGAAAGAGTGTGACATTTTAAAGGTGAAATTAACTGACTTCTACCAACACATTAAACGTAATGAGAAGAGAAATGTAAATACATTTGTATCTGTAACAAATTACAAAGCAGACTGAACAAAATACCAAGTGAAGGAAACAGATAAAATCTAATAATTCTGAAACACCCGCACACAACACAGAGGCATCGTCAGCTGTACATACTTTGAAAGCTGACCGATTTACTGTTATAATACCTGCTATAAACAAGTTAATATTTTAAGATTGGTTCATAATAGTTCATTGAAGAATTATATTCTTAGGGAAAAAAAAAAGTGATAATTAGTATAATGAGACAAACAACAACTAAAAATGAGAGACCATAAATAATCCAATGTATCATTTGCCTTTACATCAGAAGTACACCTCTTGAAATTCACACAATCTACCAATGTGGTCTGTAATAAAATTAAGGCAAAAAAAAAGCTCATTTCAAACTACAATATCAACACAATTTCATTATTAAAATTGAAAATGTTCACATAAAAGTTGAGAAGCAATTACTATATTACATAACATCTCTACAAACAATTCTGACAGTAAATTAAAGCCTGTTGTCTTTATTTTGATTATCCTTTAATATTAATAACAATATTCTGATACAAAACAGTAAATCTTATATTACGCAATTTGCACATTTATTTATGTAATATTAATAAAGTAGTTTTAACCCATAATTTACTGATTTCAGCATTAGAATCTATGATTGAGTCTTAATTATTTGTTACCTAATGTCCCAAGAAATATAAAAACATACATTTTGCATTATTGTGTCTAAGTTAACACTTTATTTTTGTAATTAATGTTTAGTGTCTTAAAAAATTCTCAAAAATTAAAATTACTAAGCCCAAGCCATTATGATTATTAATCCAACATTAAAAACTTTTATGTTTAAAATACTAAACTACTATGCGTTACTCACAGTACGAGTATAATACTTGTATTAGTAATAATAGTAAGTTTAGAAGTTACAGTTAAAAAAAACGATTAAATTATAGTAACAGTAAAATAGTTAAACTAAAATTAGCCATACAAAGTAATACCTGTAATCCAGCTCTCGCCGATCGTGATACAGCTTTAGCTTTTGATTTACCTGAATCTTTCCCTGCTTTTCCACCTGCCTGGATAAAAAAAACAAAAAAAACGTTTTATCATAATAAAGATGAACAACCAATATTTAAGGTACTAGTCATATTCGTAATGATTAATTTTAAAACTTTGCAAATAGGAGCAAACCAAGCTTACCATCTTTCAAATCACACACTCCTTTGTCAAGAGACGCGCGAAAATTTGTTGCTTACTTATACAAAATTTGTCACGTGGTATCAACGGACCTGTCAGATATTACAATATCTAACTACTAGCGCCTTTTACGATCTAACAACTTTGCTAAAAATTCGAAGACAAGAAAAAAGAGAGAGAAAACAAACACATAACAAGCAATAAATTAATTTGCTAAGTTATTTTATGTAAATATTTCTTGCAAGTGCATCGTCATATTTTTATAACATTTAAAATAATACTAAATATTATTTAAAATAAAAAAAAACATTTGAAAATTAAATACACAACTGTCTTTTCAAAAAAAAAAAAATAAACATGTACCTTACTTTTTCGGAATTCGTAGACGTCAGTCAATTTCAAAACACAAAAACACAAGTCTCATAAAAGCATCAAAGACTCAAATTGTACCAATGAAATGAAAACAGTTTAACAAACACAAGAAAGATGTCATTAGTTTCGCCCAAAATAGACATTGAATCAAAGTTTTTAAAGAACCATGTGGATCTAGTAAAGATGCCATTTTGTAAGTGATATAAAACTAAAGGCTAAGGAACATACATAATAGCTTCGGGATATTCATTTCAACTTTAGACTTAATTCTAATTGTGCGTCTTTTACGCAAGATTTCAGGGCTTAATTTGGTTCCACACGAGTCATGAAGCAGTGATATCGACGAAGTAGTAGTTAAGGTTTGCGAAGAAATGAAGCATCAATGCTAAAGTGATCTGACATTAACCTTCCCTCTCTTTCAGATGAGCTTTACGTCATGATATTTCGAAGGAAACTTCGATCATGGAATTGTTGAATTATTAAACACGAGCATTTTCTCTACCTTCAAATTTAACCAATGTGCTTCTAATGTTACCAGTGACCGCCGCGAGTGCGGAGAGATTCTTTCCCAAATTGAAAATGTGTAAAATCTACATATGAAATTTAACGAGTTGATAAAGACTGAAAGGAGTTGGTTTACTGTTATTAAAACTGCATGTGCTAAAAATAAAATAAAATAGGCACAGTGATTGAGACTTCACGCAGCTGAAAGTCCGTAAACGTAGTTTCAACTATACTGTAATTACATTTTCTATGTATGAGGATGGTGAGAACTCATTGTGTAAGTTTGTTTAAAGGAATACATTTTGTAGGTAAGAAAATCTTTCAGCCGTGGAATACAGTGTTTTTTTTTGGGGGGGGGGGATAATTTCACGTCAAATCGATTTAAATTATTCCAAGAATTAAACACAGAAACACGAGATTTGTATCTATGGTTAACATACAAAAAAAAAATCACTGTTCTAAAATTGTAGCAAGAAAATACTCTAAAACAAACAGTTACAACCATAAAGTCTAAAATTTCACCCGTGAAGCGTTTATACTTTACAAAATACCTTTTAAAAGTTGGAAGAACGAATGGAACTATGTGCTATTGATTAAAAATAAATAAAAACTAAGTTTATTTAGAAACTTTATAAGAGTTTTTGCGAGGAAACTTGGCAAAGAAAAGTTAAACTAGATCAGCATAATCGTGAAACGTGGTAGTAGGTCTAATCCAGAGTAGGGATGTTTTATAATACGAAAAATGTAGTTATTGTCAAATTTGATTGCATTAAGAAGGAAGAATGGACAGTACCAGTTTGTTATTGAGACAAATATCTAACATTCACTGCCTTTTTTAACTAGCAAGGTGAATGTTCCAACTTCACCAAGACACGTTTGTGCAGTTGTAATAATAAAACGTTGGCCAAGGAATATGGCTAAGTTTCTTTTGCTCTGCTACCTGTTGTTCTGGGCAATTTCCCTATAGTGCACAACTTCACAAGCGTTTTGTCATGGAAAATGTTGCTATAAAGTGGTATACACACGTAAAAGGGAGCAATTATTTTTTCATTGGCGTGTCAAGTAATGTCTTGGGCTATATATATATATATATATATATATATATATA